TGTCTTCTGAAATTTGATAAGCATGCCTTTTGTCTCCTCTAAGCAGTTGTCAAAAAGTGTTAGATGTGTATATTAGTGAAAAGAGTAATAAAAACACCAACTCCAGCAAATTATAGTTTACATGCCTTCCTGCTTGAGCAATGAAGGACTGTTTTTAGGAAAACGGACTTTATTGAGCCTAATGTGTTTGTAAATTCATTTTCCCCACAAATATTTATTGAAAATTCCCAAGGCACAACACTTCAGAGTCATACAAAAAGCACAAAAACATGATCCTTGACCTTCAAGAGCTCAAAATCTCACTGGGAAAACAAGACACCCAAAATTGGAGCTATGATAAGGGCATATAAGAGGAACAGACAACAAAGTGCTACAGGAAGTTGAGGGAAAGAGATATCACTGTGGCTGATGGGAGTGGAAGAAAGATGCTTGAAGGCGATTAGACTTGGTTTAAGCCTTGAATAATTTTTAGGATGTGAATCATTGGAAGGAGAGAATGAGAATCCTAAGGAAAAGTATGTGCAAAAGCCAGACACATGTTCAGGGAACAATAGATAGATCAGCTCAATTCACATATGTATTGGTTAAGGTAACTCCAGCTGCTGTAACAAAACGACCCCAACACATATTATGGCACAAAGTTGATAGAAACTTAGCTCTTGTTCACTTAAAGTGTAACACAGATGTTCCTGGTTGGTTCCTGACTCTTCTCCAAGCAATATGCAGGGATTCAGCTTTCTTCTGTTTTGTGGCTCCAACTTTTCAAAATTTGGCATCCAAGTTCACTGTGCTCAATTTCTTCAAGATCAAAGAAAGGGAAAGCACCGTGTCTGAGAGTCTTAAAGGGCCAGGCCAAGAAGTGATGTATATCACCTCTGCTCAGATTCCTTTAGCTAGAACTCAGTCACACGGTGACAATAACCACAGGGAAGGGCAGGAAAATATAGCCTCTGTGGGCTAAGAAAAAAGAGAAAACAGGTTGGGGAAACAGCTAGCTGGTTTCTGCCCCAGAGTACAATGGGAAAAGGGGAAATAAAGGTAAAAAGGTGGGCTAGGCTTTCAACACTTGAGCAATGGAGAGACATATGGTGTGGGGACTGAGTGTAGCTTCTGGAGCCAGACTTTGTGGGTGGAAACTTTGTTCTGCTATTTTCCTGTTGTATAATCTTAGACACGTTACTTAAAAGCTCTTTGCCTTAGTTTCATCCTCATCTGTAAAACGGGAAACGATGAACTCATTATCATAGGGTTATTATGAAGGTTAAGTTAATAACGCAAAATGCTTAGAAAAATGCTAGAATAGGACCTAGCACCCAGTAGGTGCTCAGTGAATATTATCCATTGACAAGATTTGAACATTATTTCCTACCAAAGGCCAAACCACATATCCACATCCACTGAATTATCAGACTCATACTGGTATCCTAACGCTTTCCAAAATAACCTGTGGCCTTCCTAGACCTTCCAAATCTCATCCACAAATATAATCATGGATGTAATACATATTTACTGAACCCTTGCTACATGCCAGATACTATGCTAGGTACTGGCAACGTAATGGTGAATGATAACGTGGGGCTTATGGTCTTCCGCACATTTCAAGACCTTTGTAATCAATTCCTCTTTAAATTCCCTCTATTTTAAATACATAAAGCTGATTATATTCTCCTGGCTTCATACTGATTGATACAGAGACAATTTTTCTTTTCCGTTGATGATATTGCTGGTACCTGCATTTGAAGTCAATTTTAGACAGCAATTATTTCAGGATTAAAGCAGATATTCCTGCCTTCCTCCTTTCTTACTCCATTTTTAGTAGATATAAGATTTACTTTCATTGGGGATGGGTGTTTGGGAGTGGGGGTGGGAATCCTAAAAGAGAATTAGGGCTCAAGGGTGTATTTGTCCATCCCAAGTGCTAGAAATACTGGATCAAGTAAGTACCATAAGTCTGCAATCTGACGCTAAGTCCTAAGTGTTTCCACATGAGAATCATTAAATTTGACAAAAAAGGTTTACAGTGGAGGAAACCCATTGCTTCAGAGTTCCTTTGACATCCAAGGAGTAAGTGATGTTTGGTCGAATGGGCAGGTAGTGGGTTACAGACTAGGAGATGGTTCCAGGGTAGCCAGGGCTCTGGTTCCTAAAGTCAAGACGTGTAGCCTCCCTAACCTTGGTTTCTTCAACTTTCACCTGGGAATTCATTCAATATACAAATATTTATCAAGCACCTACAGTGTGTATGGTAGAGGAATACATAAAAGCCGTGAATAAGGCATAATAAAC